AAGGGCTCTGTCGGGGGTTTTAAAATTGTACTGCGATGCATGGGTCATCACATACTGATTAATTCCACTGAAGGCAATAGGCACTAGGGTGGGGCAATCATCCGGCAATCAGTGCAAGGCTGGGAGGATCAGAAGATCACCTCAGGCCTAACAAAATCAGTTCTTAGGTTCCAGACATCCTGGTGTTCATTTTTGTCCTAAGGAAATGTACATGTACCTGCTTGAGTTTTATTATAATAGCATTGTATAGTCACTATGGTTTAGAAAATGCATCATATTTGAGCATTCTACACTAAAATGAAACATGGTTAGAAAATATTATACGTTTCGAACACTTTCTAAAATGTCCAGCAAAATGTCTAAATGTCACAATGCACTAAATGTTAAATAGCAACTTAGGTTAGTTAAATGGAATACTATTTGAGTACAATGACCATTATTATTTAAGACGAAACAAATTGGGGGAAAATTTTCCCTGCAAACATGTATCATCTTTCTTAATAATCTTACAGAAAATAGAATGAGAAATATTGAATGAGAACTTGTAAATATTCATTTTCCTATATACATAATACATTTACATTGTACATATATATGCACATTGCAAAAAATACTAATTATGGTTGGAGTAAGAGTAATTATACTAATAGACTGAGTCTCTTGGTTGGGAACCTTGAGTTGTTGGCTACATGTAACATGTCTTCTCTTGTATCCAAACATATATCAAAGTGACAAATAGTGCTGCATACCGGTTCACTGGACTTGGATCCGGACTTGTAAGAATGTTTAGGTTCAAGTCCAAAAAAACCTAAAAGTCAAGAACCGAGTCTGGACTTATTACCATAAAAGACCATTTCACATACCCATTTTCTTTCCAAACCACCTAAAACCTTCCGTAGATTGTAAAATCTTTGCTGCAAAACGAAGAAAACATTGCCTTCGGGCATCGTCAAGTACCGGCCTCCATGTTATGTGGCCAAAGTTTCACCCAGACAACATTGCAAGGTTGCCAACATGCAATTTTGTATATGCCATGGGTTTAGGTCCGGAACTGAACCTAAACCTCTGGACTTGAATCCGGACCTGAACCTAAATGTGGGTTTAGGTATGCATCACTAGTGACAAATCATATTTGTTTTTTACGACAGCATAATTGCTGCAGAGGCCCTAAAATATGAAGATCCTGGATTGGAAGCGTCAGGCCAGGCCGAGATTTGCGGCCACCGTCATTGAATTAGAGCGGGAGGCCTGTGGTTGTCGATATCACTTCTCCGTGCTAGATGGATGGATAGTCTGCGGTAGTGGGTCCAACAAGGGTCAGGAGACGGAAATTAAAATGTGCCCATTTTTGGGGGGATTAGTACTTCTAACGGTTCTGATTGGAAATCTACAGTAGTTAAAAGAGATTATGGATTTTGCTGATGGTTAGCTTTGATTCATAGATGAGTGCATGATTCATTCTTCATTTTTACAATCATTCAACAACTTCTGTTAATGAAGAGCTAGTATACTGTAAATGCATTTACTTTTGCAATGGGTTTTACTTTGAATTTGCATTTTTGCAGTGTTCGGTCTTCACCTTAAACCATTACAGACACTGCAAATAAATGTTTTGCATTTCTTCTGCACTACAGAATTGTTTTAAACCTCCTTTTCTGTCATGCCATGAAATAAAATCACTGCTAAATTAACTGCACTTACAGTAAAACTTGAAACTTTTGTCCAAAGTGGGGGCCTAACATTTTGATCCTGTAAAGTGCATTGACCCAGCATACACCATTAAGTAATTAGTAGTAGCCAAGACAAGAGCACATTTTTGCTATTAGTAATTAGGGACAGATTAGTTCATTCCCAATAGCCAGGGGACTAGCATTAATAGCTGTCCAACTTTCCAGAACAGGTGAAAACTGTAGAACTATCAACTTTCCCTTTCTGACAATACTACTACTCATGAACCAGGTATGGATTTTCTGCATCTAAATTGAAATAAACTAAGGGACTTTCTTAATTTAAATCCACAATATACTCCCTTACTTTTAGTAGCTATACAATTTTGTGTAATGGAGCAAATTCCCAATCATTGTCTTCAATGACATTAATGTCTTGTTAAAAAAAAGCAGTGATTGCTAATGGGTTGTTGCGTGAGATTCGGATATTAAACATTGACAGCTTGGTGGGTTATTGGTGGGATGACCTAGAAATGCAGGAGTCTGGAAGAAATTAACTAGGCATACACACTTCTAAAAGCTATTAAAAGTTCTCGCAAACTCTTTGCTGTTAGTTCATCTGTGGAAAAAAAAGGACTGTGGACACTGATATCTAGATTCTACTGTATCAACCTAATCTCCAAGCAGATGTTGGGTGGACCAAAAAAGTAGATTCTGATATATCTGTATTGATGGTATAACTGCCCTTCAGCATAACACAGCAGCAGCTGGTTGTGCTACACTGATATGCTGGCTAGTTAGAAAACTTACCACTTGTCCACCCTATCATCTGCTTGGAGATTAGTATTGCCCAGTACTATCACAGTATCAGCATTTTAAAAGCTAATTTTGGGATCCTGGCCACAGGATTTTCAGAAATTCTGGGACATAGTCCAGTCACCTGATGACTAACACTAGAATATTTTAGGGTATGCCCTGCCAATTCAACCCTTTGAAAGCAAACAAGAAATCAGAGATTTCAGACTTCCAAGAAGTGTTTTTGTGAATGTAGATGTATTATATAGTCATGGGGAAATACCCTTATGAATTTAAATCATAGAATGGATTACTCATATGATGTAACTTACTCCAATATTACACCATGGTTTATGTTTCATACCATCATTGCACAGTACATACTCAAGTTCAAAAACCATCTTAGTATAATGATTTTCTTTGGCACACATAGTACAAATATTCCATCAGCCATAGAATTTCATTGTCAGTGAATGCCATACACCCTGGATGCATTTCTATCTTACACATAATGACATTATCAGACCCACTATAATACTGTATTATACAGTATTGTAAAACTTAAAGGGTCCATTTTGGTTACATAGAACACTTGGCTCAACAAACAAAAGAGAGCAGCCTCCACAATGAAAGGCTGTCAAAACTCAGAGAAATGTTTCAATCCGAATGAAATAACAGTGTTCTATTACAAAAGCAACACAGCTGTCCCAGAAGTAAGACACGTACATGAACTAGTAAATGACTTTCATACTTTAGGGACAAGAAGTTATCTCGAACCCCCTCTAAATTACAGAGGTACAGGAGTTACAAACCGTCCTAGTCGCAGCTGTGATCGGCCATTATTATCAAATTACCCACTATAAAGACTGTTAATAAGGCCCTGCTATTGGAAATCCATATTCTACCTGAAGAGGCAATCTCGGCAAACATCAGGCTGGGACAGGTATAATTGGTTGGAATATTCTCGTTTTCTTTGTTCGCATGTTGTGATACGTTAGACACATTAATCTAGACATTACAGGGGTTTTTCTAAACAGGGGAATAAGGGAGCTGCTCCCTCATGTAACCAGCCAGCTCCCTCATATCAATTTTGAAATTGAACCCTATGTGGCTATTTACACACCATTTCGTCTTTCTCAAAACAATCTTTTTCCAGTAAAGATGTAAAAACAATACAACAATGCATTTTAGCAATACAAACTGTGTTACTCTTATTAAAAAAATCCCCCCTCGGTCACTTCGCTCCCTCACCATGCTTGCGATCTGCTCCCTCATGCTAAATTTTTTCTAGAAAAACCCCTGCATTATACCATGGCTTGGCTGTTATTGTGTCTACTAAAAAGAATGTTGAAATAATTTTTCTTTTTTGCATTTGAATAGTGAGAGTTCAAAAATATACATTGATATGTGCATGATTACATATTTCAAAATTGAGGAAATCAAATCTAAATGTCATTTATTTCTGCATTTTGACTTGCAAGGTTATTGTGTCAACTAAAAAAGAATATTGAAGAATTAAACAGAAATATGGACATGATTATATCTACAGTATGCTGGGTTATACATTGTAGTTTGAAATTGAGCAAATGAAATCTTGATGTCATTTATTTCTGTATTTTGCCCTTCAACTTCAAGGTTATTGCATACATGTATAATGAAACTTTATTTTTTTCTTTCATCTGAACACTGAAGGTTACAAAAATGAACAGTAAGAAGTGCGTGATTACATCCTTGATATTGTACTATTTTAGAATTGAGCAAATAAAACGTTAGCGCCATATATTTCTGTACTTGCCCTGCAGAACACTCAACATTGACACTGAAAGCAGACAAATAACCATCTTCGACTTGCAGCCAAATAAATTGATACCATGTGTCCACTCCTGTTCGGAATTAATGAATTTTTCATGGATTTAATGATACCTGGAGGCTAATAGTCCAAGGACAAGTCGGCTGAATTAGACATGCCTTTCTGCGAAATAATTGATGACTTTTGGATCCAAAGTAATCCCTAAACGAGCTTTTAGGATATACAAAGCAAAATGAAGTAGAATATGTCTTGAAGGCATAACTTGGATAATTTAGAAGGGCTAAATCTTTTCATCATCAAAATTGCTTTCCACACAGCTTATCCTTTTACGTTGGCTCACACGTTGGCTGTGGAGCTAATAAAACGCAGTATCACTAAAACCCCCATGTTGACCCTCATAGCAGCTAAGTGCACTTCAAGCCATCAGAACTGTCTGCAAATCTGTCAATCATTCTTCCGCGGGACACGCGCCCGAACATCGGCTGGAAATGGCACTTGGCGGGTGGAAACGTTGAAAATGCTGTGTTGCTATGTTTGGCAATAAAAAAAAACTTACAGGACAATGCGCTTGTAAAAAAACATAACGCAGCAGGCAAGGAAGAACCGCTACAATCCGATACACAAGCCGATACACATCAAGTTCCAACATCTAACAACATGCCGCTATGTGTATAATTTCAGTATCTGCTTTATAAGCTACGGCAAAGTCTTTGACTCCTTGTACGTACCTGATATCATAGACAGGGTGCTGAGGAAGACGAAGATTGCCACGGCGGCTGTTCTCATTTTGACGGTCGGCCTCGCTAGATCTCGCCGCTGGCGGGAATCCCAGTTGAAGCGCGCGGACTTGTGATGCTCAAACCCGCCGAGGAACGCGTGACGTGCCCGGCGCTTGACTCACTCGATGCGCTGCTATTGAACGATTTCTCGGCTCGCGGGACCTCAACACTTCGCTAACAGGGGCGGCTACTGTCTAGTCGAAAAATCTGAGCAAAACTTTCTTTTTCCTGAGGAAAAAAATCGCTGGAAATGTTGAACAAACAACTCTCTCCTCTCAGTTGGAAGTCTTCTGTCGTCTGACGGCCGCGGTCCTATTTATGGCCTGAACCACTCAGCTGCGGGGGTGGGCAGGACGGAAATGCGTCTGTAAAATACGCACAGGGCGGGGGGTTATGGGAGAATCTGGACCCCACGGGACGATACCGTGAGAGCATTGCTGCCAGCGTTTTGTTTATTTATGCACGGCTTCCCGCCATTGCGTTATTTCCCCCCTCTACTATCTAAGGAAAAAGGTGACATTCGATGCATCCGAAATGCCAGAGATCGAAGTCCAGATACACTTTTCACGGGTCGTTAGCACCTATGCGTTCTCCTTCCAGCACCATTCCATCACAAGATAGATGTATGATAGACAAATTGATGATAACCATATGTAGCACTTGATGGCGGATAATCTTTAACAATGCAAAGGAAAAGGACGGCTCACACGCGATTCGAACATCAAAGCTAGTCGTTGTCTGCATATTTGGCGCCCCAAGCCATTCCAAACGTCCAAACATGCACCTGAGCTTCTACTGTCCTGAGGTTTCGGAAAAATTAAAGGGACAGTCCAAGAAATATAGTAGGGGAGGGGTAATAATGACTTCGCGAAGTTGTTCGGTCAACAGAAATCTCTCTGGGTCTCTCATTCTCTCTACCCCTCTCTCTTTTTATCTATCTATCTTTTCGTTCCCTGATTTACCCCCATGTAGTTTCTTTTCTTTTTCCCATACACCCTTCCTTACGGTTATTCCTGATCCACCCCTAATGTTGTGGTAACCTGTGCGTGACTTTGACAGTGAGTGTCAGTGCGTTACAACCCACAGGTGATGTTACGGGCAATCCGATTGGTCGGTCCAACATGGTCCTACTGGGATGTGTATGGAAATGTATAGAGGACAGGTATGAGATCATTACTTACTTAGTTTATTTTTCCGGCCACTGTTTTCATGAGATAAATTACATATCTGTTTTTATGAGATCGTTCGAAGTCAAATTGTTCATAGGATTATCATAATTGATCCAGCAGAAAATATTGCTTGGACTTTCGTGTTTTAGTCTGTTATGGTTTCCCCCTTTTTTTCTAGATTAGGAATGATATCATCGAGTTATGCGAATTCACATACCAGAGGTCACCTGCAATTCCATTACCTTCCGCCGCGTTCCGTATGATGAGAGGTGTTTCCTATTTTTACGTCGACCCGTCAATCGGTCTGGTATTTCGGTACCGTCTTTATCACTTTGGCAGTCAATTTTCCTCAGAAGACTAGAATGTCAAGTGGACGATCAACAAGACAGGAGACACAAACCACTTTCAGCCGGTAGTTCACGGAAATGACATTCTCATGAAAAGGGTAGAGAAGATGCAAACGATTTTTCTTTTTTCCCGCCCTTTTTTTCATCACCGCACACTGTTCAAAACATAGCCACAGTAAATAAAGAAACGTATCCTCCTAGATTCTAAGTAGCCACAATAACGAAATATATTACGGTCATCGGGACTAGCAAAAACCATCGTGCAGTACCAGTACAGGGAGGAAGAAAGAGAAGTAGGCAACGGAAAAGATGGGTGGTGGGCAGGGGTGGTGGGGGTTGGGGTGGTAATATCAAGGAATGTAATCTCCAAGCAGATCCCTCTCGGTGGCAAAAAGACAGTATCCATTAGCCAGAGAAGATCCGCGGCCACCGATGGTGGGGATCAGGACAAAAAAAACGGCCATATATAAAAAGGTAACGATCATTCCCCCACAACCTCTGCTTGGAGAATACAAGGAATGGACCTCAACACTTTGTGACACGTTAACACCCGAAGGCCAAAGTGATTGCAGGGCGGAAAAATTGAATTTTCATAGTCAATTTTCTGGTTATTTTCTTTTACGCAGTAGGTAGGTGAAGATGTGATGTCGCTAAAGGAAAAGGGCTTGTTTTTTGGTTGTTTTGTTGTTGTTGTTGTTGTTTGTTTTTCATATCGTGGGCTGGTCCTAGCTATTTATTGGTGGCACCAAAAAATAATGGGACTCCTCACGTTACTTGTTTCAAACGCTTCAAGTATGAAATGATGGCGAAAATGTGCAAAGAAATGCAAGCAGAAAATTTCAATATCAGACAGATTTCCTTATTCAGAATACTAGTACATGTACTGGTATTCCTTGTTTTGCCACCTTGAAATTGCTTTGGGTGCCTTTAGTAAAGAACAACAAAAATCCGAGAAGAGTATCTGGTTGTCAGATCTTCTGTGGTGCCCTAACGGCCATGGATGAAATGAGACTAGACACCTAGTGCTGTTGAAGAGATTTTAGCTCTCTTTCCAGCCCCATTCTGTATTATCTCATGATGATCACCGGGATTTCCCTGCAGCTAAAAGTCACCCTTCACTGCTATCACACTGACGGACCTAATCTTAAACTTTTATCCCCGAGCCAAGTTCTTTCTTCTCTAAATCGCCGTGGGTACACTTGACCGACGGTAGCATGGCGTTATTTTTGTTGATGTATCTCCTGTACTGGCCTGGCTGACCGTTGAAGCTACCATATCAACACTTTTATCTAGACGTGCTATTGATTTTATACACGGAACCGTCCACTGCTGCAACCCAAGCTCGTGCAACTTTCCTTTGTGTTGGGATTGAAAAATAAATCAGTAGTGTCGTCTGATAGGCGGCGGGAAACATGTAGAGAGTTTCGCGTCAAATCTCGATTGTATAATATTGAAATAAAATCTTAAAGTCACAAAATAGGAAGTCCCGGTCCAGAAAAAAGAGGAGCCGCTAGCATATGTGTGTTCTGTAGTTACAAACCTATTGTTTTAAGTTGATTATCTACAACAATCGCTGACGGTTTTTTATGTTCAGATCTATTTTGAAAACCTCAACCAAGATGGCGGATAGCTTAAATAGGCATGTCATATTATGATGTCATTTTATGATGTCATTTTGACGTCTATATTGTTGCTATCATATCGTTTTATTGTTTACCTTCAAGTTTTACGGGAAAAACCTAACCCCCAAAATCACGCAAGTGGCGTCATAATGACGTCATATTACGTCATAATGATACCAAAATTGTTATGATTAAATTTTAGTAAGACACCACCCTTTGGTGATGTCTATGGTGATGTGAAGTAGTTTAGGAGTTCTCAAAAGCACACACACCCCACCCCCGTTCCAGGATGACCCAATAAGCCCGGTGTCACTGGTAGGTTAATTTTGCACGTACGTCCACTATCTTACTGTGGTCTTACATACACCTTTTTAAGTTCTAAACGTCTCCCTTCGTTGTTCATTTCATCCCTCAGTTCATTTTCATTTTTCATGCCTTGCTTTGACTCTCTATCTGACTGACGGAAGTACCACACGTGTACTGATACCCGTCAAAATGGACCGTTACATACGTGACCCCCATATACGCTTAGGCCTGCCCATCTATTTACGAGCGGCTACATGACATTTGCCCTACATTCACCAACTAATGGATTTCCGCGACTTTTCAATAAATTTCCGCAATCTTAGATTTTGCATAGTCTCCAATCAGGCTCCGTGAGGCTGTTGGAGGCATCCAAGACGATTTTAGGGCAGTAAAACTGAATTTTCAAAGTCAATTATCTGGTCATTCTTTTGATGTAGTAAGTTGAATCTATCCGTTTCATTTACCATACTAATATCTGTGAGGCAAAAATACGATGTCGCTGACGGAAAACGGTTACCTGTTTTGTATCATAGGCTGGTTGTGACTTTTTATGGTCGGTACTACAAAAATAAAAGGACTCCTCACGTAGCTTCTTTTGGGCTTTTTCAAACGCTTCAATTATGAAATGATGACCAAAATGTACTAAGAAAAGGCAGTATTAAATGCCAACATTTCCTCACCCTAGATTTTGTTTTGTTTAGTTTTTCCGCACTGAAATTGCATAGGATGCCTTTAAACCTCTTCTTTCCAGCGATCAAAGGCCAGACGTTATACAATGTACATAGATGTGGTGACTGGGAGGATGCTACAGTGGGTGCGGTTATTGCATGTTCAGTAATATTGACTCACCACGTATACAACATACTTTGATGTGGCGCGAAGGGAAAGTAACACGAGCCCTTGACGTCACGCAGCCTAGCGGATGTGGATGGGACGACATGGTCCCCAATTGGGGACACTTCCTCTCAAGTGTACACAGACACAGTGACTGGCACATTTTTGTACTCTCCAAGCAGAGATTGTGGGGGAATGATCATTAGTTTTTTTTATATATGGCCGTTTTTTTCGCTACCCCCACCAACGTCGGTGGCCGGCGACCTTCTCTGGCTAATGGATACTGTCTTGCCACGTGGTCTTGCCACCGAAAGGGATCTGCTTGGAGATTAACATTTTTGGCGGGAACGACAGTGATGATATGTACCTTTATATACATACTGCCACCAACAGCTGACACAGTTAACAACCTGAATCATTCTTCCGTAGAATTTGGATATATTACAGGGCGCGGTCGCGTAGGACGTCAGACGAATTTTGATGTCGTATGAAATGTATTTTCAAGCAGGCTGAATGACAGAACCAAGTTAAACCGCCGGTAAGAATGACATCTCTCACAGCTTTCTATGAAACATGGCCGTTATTAAGGCGTTGTACGAATACGATACACGCACGACTATCCTAATCTCCAAGCAGATCCCTTTCGGTGGCAAAAGAAAGTATCAAATTGGCCAGGCAGTATCCATTAGCCAGAGAAGCTCCGCGGCCACCGACGGGTGGGGGTCAGGACACCAACAAAAAAACGGCCATATATAAAAAGGTAACGATCATTCCCCCACAACCTCTGCTTGGAGAGTACGACTATCCCGAGAACTCCCTCAGTTGTAAAACGTTCGTACGATCGTCGTATATACTCCTCTGCCAGGCTTCGGGCCTGAGGCGGCTGGAAAGAGTAGAAATCGGCCAAATAGAGAGATAGCATGCCAGGGGAGTTGGTCTGCTGGAGAGAACAGTTTGCCGCTCCCGAACCACTTTACTAGCGTGGTCTTGGCAAACGCTCACTTTACAACTGCCCTAGAACCGGCTACGCTATAGAACAAGAAATGTTAGTACACTTACCA